AAAACCACTGATCTAGATAGTTTACCTTTTCACTACAGGTAAGTCAAAGTGTGCATGTCATAACCTTTTAGAGAGTTACATTCAAAATTTAATCATTCTACTTTATTATTAATGTATACGAGTAAAGCTGACATCAAAACATAGATAATAAGTTTTAATACAAGTTTTAAGTTCATTTTATAAGTAAATGTTTTAAAAAATCCTCAATCTCCTCTAGTATTGAGAATCATGACATTTGTTCTTTAGGTCTTCTCCCTTCTCAAATTTATTCACCATCCCTGTCTGAAGTACATAATTTAAAATAGATTACTCATTATAATATAGGTATCATTAAGGCAAATTCTATTTTTATATACATTAATTATATATTTTTTACAGAGACAAACTAGAAAGTCAGACCCACTTGTCATGCAAACCTGTCACATCCTCACTCTCACACCCAGTAAATAATTCTCTCTGGTGTTTTATACTATATCATTTATAACCAATGGAAAGGCAAAGTTTTAATCTATCAAATAATATGTTATATTACATTGGTTTCAGGATAGAGTACTGTATTTTATCTTCAGTTCAAGAGTTTCACTCATGATGTTCAGCTCAAGCTTTTAGAATTTTTTTAAGGTTGTTATGCCATAGTTAGATTATGATAATTATAGGACATTATTTGCCTTCTATGTGTTATTATTCTGGATTTTTAGGTAGATTATTTAAGTAAATAAAAATTTAGTGTATTAATAAAAAAATTAGGCATAAATTTAATTGGCAACTGACAGCAAAAACAAATAGTCAGAACTAAGTACCATATTTCTCGTTCTTCATGTATATTCTTTAGTTATTATTATAAAGCAATTAAAATATGAAGATTAGAAACTTATTGGGCTAAATAAAGTTATAATAAATAAGATAATGAATAATAATACTAAAAATTCTTCATGAGGTATGCTTGCAAGTACCTCATGCATTACGTTATTCAATACAGTAATGTAAGCTACATGTTTTCCGAATGATTTACAACTTGTGTGGCAGAATTATTACTTAAGACATGGTTCAAAGGGCAATAAAACAATAAAATTACGTACAAATAAATGTGGACTGTTACATGCTTTAAGCTACTTGGAATAAACAAATAGCATTTCTTCAAACATTCTAGAAAGAAGAAAAATGGTGATTTAGATTTATTTCATATTTTTCTATGGTGGTTACAAGGTTCGTCAAATCAACCGAGTCCATATAGAGCTAGGGTGGAAAAAATAACAAATAAATTATAAAACTTTATATTTTGTCTGTTATTTTCTATACCCTAACTATATGGGGTCTGTCAATTTGACCTAAATCTTTCTTTTGCAATGAAGGTCAATCTTAGAAATATGTATCCAACGATTACATGTTTTTGAGCTTAAAAATTACAATTCAATCCTCACTGCAAGTTACTAATATTAAGCACCTGATGCTGGAATTAGCTGCATAAAAAACTGTGATTATTTTATTTATTAGTTTTATTTTTAAATATTGTTGACTTTCATTTTAATTCTAGATAATCACTTCATGTTATTTGGAAAATAATTAATTACTTTTATATTCAGAATAACATTTAACTTAGTAAAACAAAAATCTTTGTTATAAAAATACAGCCTTATCCTAGTGTTATTGTTATTAATGAGTATCTATCTAACTTGTCTATATCAAAGAATATTTTTAATTTTGTTACAAATGTTAAAATAAATATTCTTGTTCCTCATTGTTTTGATTAATTCTTCAATTAATAATTGTTCTAAATACTAGTACACTGTCTATTGCCAATAATAAAATGTGCTAACATCATAATACACTTCGAGACAATGATGTAACCTGCTCATTACTAATGATACTGTAGTTAACATAGTTTCAAAAAACTCTCTTTTCCAATGGTTAAGTGTCTTAGACATTACAGGAATAACAGAACAACATGGCTTTTATTAAAAATTGTTATAACCTCCAATTACAAAAATGTATTGTGACCTAGGAATAGGTAGTACAAGATAATTAAAAATTCTTCATTTAAAATGGGGGAATAGGAGTCATCATAAAGGTACAGAAACAAGTTGAATTCAAATTCAAATATCATATTTTCAAGCCTACAACAAGGGACTCTACAAAAGTAAACAAACTAATTTGTTTACTTTTTTTTTACAGTCCTTAGTTGTAGACTTGAAAATATAATCTTTGCATTTCATATCAACTTGTTTCTGTAATTTTTTGATGATAACTGTTCCCCCTTCTGAATTAACACTTTTAAACTATCTTGTTTCTTAAGTTTTTTATATCTATTTATAGAAAATACATTTTAGGCTATATACGTGCATATACATTCAATTGAATGCTACACGTTTTTTAAGAGTTTACTGCTGCATTGGCTTTTTCCACCCAGCCATATTTACTGAGCCAGGTAGTTTTGTATCTGAGGTTTCGTTTAAACATGCAGTTAATAAGCATTGATTACAAAGGAAGCCGCTCATAAGAACATCGCATATATTATGTATTTATAGCCATATAAATCAACTTTCAATGAAAAATAATCAACTTTTTAAATAGTTCATAGACATTATCAGCATCTCATATAGTATATCTGTCTAGGTTTTAGTGCAAGATAACCAGCTGATTCTGCTGTAGGCTTGTGAAACAAAAATATGAATAGTACTAAAATATGCACTCACAATTTCAGCAAAGTACAAAAATCAGTAGAATAAATCACCACTCACAAGAGTAGAAAACTCAACTCAGGTAATCATCTAATATTAGACACTCACTGAAATAGTCACAGAAAATAATAAAGAGACAAAAGTATAACAGTGAACTTGAGAAATGATGAATCCTCAATGTGACATTTTCTGATTAATACGCTATAAGTAGCACAAATTATTTTCCAGTTGTAAAACACTGGATTTTTTCAATGGTGGAAAGTGAAGGACTTTGAAAAATTCTTCGGGGTGAATTCATTATAAAACTACACCATAACATACTTAGTACTGCATTCATTACTACTGCCCAAGTTTCAGTAAAATATTCATAGCTGTTATTCCTGTAATAGCTTGTAAAACTATAATCAATAATAAAATAAGGCTGGAGACACTGTTATAAGTATAAGCATTGTTTACTCTAATAAAAGGAAGCATTTCCAACAACTGTAAGGTGAAGCCTTTCTGGCTAGTAATAAAATGGTGCTTAAATTGTTTCTACATTTCTGCAATGCTTGAATGGCTTTGTAGAACTTACACTGGTAGCGAAGAACTTAGAAAATGTTAGAGATTGGAAATCTTGACTTTCAAGAATCAACTTTAAAATATCCCTACAGCCTTCGCAGGAGTTTGTTTAGTAGCTGTCCACAGATTTTGGCACAGTATACCTAGCTGTTTTTGCTGTAGGCTTTGGTACTTGAATGGCTTTGAAGAGAAACTTGGCTAGTAGCAATGAAAAAACTGATAAAATATCTTCTTTCCTTTTAAGAATCAACATAAAAATATTTTTTTTAGTAGGTTTGCCCAGGTTTCAATAAAATATTCATTGTCGTTTTTTCTGTAGGCTTGTGAAACAAGAATATTATAAATAATAATAATAATATGAAGAACAAATGGATGAATTTTGAATTTTGTGTAATAATCAGAAAATCAACCATTTTGCTATTATCAACATTTTAGCCACCTTAGCCATTGAGATAGAAAGTCTTGAGTATTGTTTCATGAACAAGTCTGCTTTTTAAGATGGTTTTTGCCCATACGTTCTATTAACATTTTTGTGAAATTCCTGGGTGATTCCTATTATGAACCACTATTGTGGTTCATGATAACTTCAAAACTAACTACACCAATAACATTTCTACCCTAACACATATTATACACAAATGAAGCTTCACATTAATCTATTATTATTCAACTAACAAATTACACTAAGAACTAGGATGAGTTCAGTTTCCTTAAAATATACTACAACATTCAAGTCCCATATGTACAGAAAAAAAAGAGGAAGACTTACCAGTAGGTGTTGTAACAGTACAAGGAGTAAAAGGAAGTTGGTTTAGGCCTTCTTCCACAACCAAACGTATCTATACAGTAAAAATAAATGAATTTCAAGACCTGAAAGTTAGTAACTATATTCAATGCAAACAGTTTGTGATAATTAACAATAATGTTATAATAAACTAGTAGGCCTGGCATGGCCTGGTGGTTAGGGTATTTGACTTGCAATCTGAGAGTTATGGATTTGAATCCTATCCCCAAACATGCTCACTCTTTCAGCCATGGAGACATTATAATGTGATTATCAATCCCATTATTAATTGGCAAAGAGTAGCCCAAGAGTTTGCAGTGGGTTGTGATGACTAGCTGCCTTCCCTCTAGTCCAGACCTTGACAAAGACCAGGCACCAAGTCATCATGGCAATAAAAATTATCCTGGCACTTAGTATTTTCTCCATTTTATTCTAATCTAAAACAGTTCTTGACTTTTGAAAATCTGGAATTATTTTTGCATTATTTGAGTCCTAAATTTAACTTTGTTTCTAGGATTTTAATGGTGGATTCAGCATTTCATGTTTTATCAGAAAAGAAGTACTGCAGTTGCACAACATATTACTAATTTTTGGCCATTTTATTTTTCTTCTTTCTCTCAATTCAACCAATAAGTGTGCGTGTTTAGACTCAGATACGATAGTTGTTGATATGATGTGATTATTAGCATGCACATGTTGCTGGGAAAGTAAATAAATATACACTACACCAGTGCCTCGATTATCCAGGAAAAGCAAAAAATCGTGCATAACAAAAACAGCAGATAATTGAGACATGAGCATACCTCACTAGTTAGCCCACTGTTTAATCTAAAAAATTTTCCATATTTTCAAGTTCCTTATTTTAAGTTATAATCTCTTTTCTGTTCTTTAATTACATTATCATGAAAAATTATCAAAGTCGTCTCAATAATAATCATAAAAGCCAAGTGTCATTTGGTCACACTCAATTTATCTGAATTTTGTGAGTTACTTCCTCTTTTCATTGTCTGTTCCTGTTTTGGTTGAATTTAATCACTACCATAGGCTAAATAGCTCATAAATTTCAGAACTTTTTCCGCTATAGCCACGAAAGTGCAATCGCACCCTCTCAATGCCTGTGAAAAATAAGTCAAAATTAGTGCAAATCTATGTTTGGAAATTATTATGTAAAAGCCTTTATCAAAACATACTTCAGTTATCAATTATCTATAGGGAAGAGAACAATACGTAACTGGGTGCCACCCCAACACAACTGCAACATGCATCTGTGGTTAAAGGATGCCCACAGTGCAGAAGAGAACTGTGGACAACAAATGAAGTTGAATGAGATTTATAAGAAATCTTCTTTTGTATTTTGTGTGTTTTTCTATACCATGTTTTTAATCACTAATCAACTAAATTTAACCAAGCTACAAATATTTTGTATTCCTATCTTAACAGCTAAAAATAAAAAGAGGCAAGGCTAGGCTTGAACAGGCCAACTTACGATTTGAACGCATTCCAGATCCTGCATGCAAAAACCCTGGATATCATGCAACACCTAAACTTTTCCAACTAAAATTAATTTCTGAGCAACAATTTCTCCAAAACTTATTCTCTAAAATTGCAATGATACAATTATTTTGAGAAAATTTTGGGAAAAGAAAAAACCTTGGATAACAGAGGCACGGATAATCGAGGCACTTGCGTAGTCCCCATTTCTCAGTACAAACAGTAGAAGTTAAGTTAGGCACACCTAGCTCTTGAGTTGTTTGGCTGACTCCTGGATCTGAAAAGATTTGTCAAGGCCTGCTCTAGTCTATCACTTCAAAATTAGGGATTGCTAGTGCATACAGCCCTCGTAGCTTTGCGTGAAATTTCAGAAACAAAAAAATATAATAAACTAGTAATTCCTAACATTATAATTTAAAAACTATAACATGTGCAATGTGCAGAAAAGACTGGGAACAGATATGGATTAGTAAAACTGGATACAATACAGCAATTATTAAATGTTCCACAATATGAAAGTTAAAAGTATTAAAATCTGACTTAACTGGAGTTGTCTCAGTTTTTAATTTCTTAAACTTGTGTACTCTAGTATTATTATCTGAAGAATTTTATATACAAGTTATCTAGTTTTATAGATTCCATACCTCTAACTACTTTAAAAACATCAATCAAATCCTCCCAAAGCAAAAATATAGAGATTAACTTATCCCACATATGATAACTCCTTCAAGCCTAGAATCATCCTGGTAGCTCTTATCTCAGCATCTATTCTTAAACAAGGTGAACAAAACTGAAAAAACATTACAAGTGTGGTCTAAACACACCTCATAAGGTAAACAGGTGACTTCCTTCGACTTTTACTTAATATTTCTAAGTACACAATTTAAAACTGCTTGCCTTGTTACTAGTTAACATACATTGTTTAGAAGACTTTAAAGACAAGCCCTACACCATAAGAATAATTATTTATATACTGACATTCCATAAGAACTACATTTCCCTCAAAATATATTTTTCAAATTCAAGAATGAGGTGTAGCAATCTCACTGTATCAAGATATGAATATGACAGTGTGAAAAATATATACATACACACATACATATATAAATCAATAAAAAATAATATTTACTTAAAACAATTCTTCATATACGAAGCATTCAAATATAATTGACTTCCTAATGATCTAAACCAAATATTCTATGACCACTGAGTACTACTACACAAATTAAAAGGCAATAAAAAATAGTTCTTATAAACTTTACAATTTTAATAGAAGTGATATACATCTAAAGAGAAGGTAACATGGACTTCAAGCCTAAAATAATTCAATTACTGTTATGTATAAAAAGAAAGTATCAATTCAGTTTGTGTATGTAGAACTTGTACCTCAAAACAGTGTTGTTAATTGCTAGTAGTGATATTCACATTACACTCACCAATCGTTCAGCATAGAAAACAAAATCACTCCTGGTTGTGTTTCTATAAAATAGAAAAATTAAATTATAATACTTTTAAAGAGACAAACAATTTAGAAAACTTAAAGCCATGCTTAAAAAAAAACTGACAGATTGAAAGTGATAGTACTCATTCACCAATGTGAAAATGAGTATTTCTTTAAGTTTACTCTACAATTCAAGGTATCTTTCTAAATTGAAAACTAGTAATTTCTCAAACAAATTGAGCAGAAATCTTATTTTAAACATCAATGATTAATTATTCAAATTGATTGTTTTTCATGGGATGTAAACTATCTCTCCTAGCATTATCAACCATTAAAGATCAAAAAATGTAATACTATGCTGTAAAGAGGTTGAGTATGTTTTATTAAATGATTAGTCTCACCACACCATTACAATCCATGTCACCACATCCATTGATGCTCTCTCTATGATGAGTGAGGAATGTGAATCTTGACAATAGCTCTTCAAAGTAGTTTCCATCATAAAGCTACCATGTTCAAAGCACACCACTTTGTCCTTCATGCTTTTCATAATAAGTCTACTTTACAAAGTCCATGGTTTCCAAGCATCCATTTCACAGTTGTATCACATAAAAATCCATAGGTGCTGCATCTGGAGACTTGATTGATATGTCTTTGTACGGAACAGAATAAATACCTACTTCATTCTCCAGCTGCTTGAGGTATGTGTTGATTTGAGTAGGAGGTATGGCTTGAAGCCTTATCAGAAATCCTTCTTGATTATTTGCATACTATTGCTTGAGGATGGCTTTTGCCACTGACATTTGTGTTTGGGTATTCTCAACTGTCACAAGACACTGCACTTTGTTAACCACAGCTGGAGAACAACAAAGTCTCTTTCTAGGAGGTTCTCATTCCAAAAGTTCATACATATTTCTGTGTTTTCAAATACCATTGCGTACAAAGAATATTCTCTTGAAAATTCTAAATCCCTGATCCCAGCAAACCTTTATGATCCAAGTGCATGAATATTTTGCATTAGAAAAGGCTGTTAGATACTTTTCCCCAAAACAATCAATTTTCAGTGGCATATTTATGAAATACCAAACAATGTCAAAGTTTAGTTACGATGCATTCCACTACAACATTATATTGTCTATGGTTGTCATGTTCAAAATCATTTTAATATGATACACATTCAACCCTCTGTATATGTAAAACCGAAACCTACGTGAGTGGAACAAACTGATGAATTTATCAATTTCCATTGCATGTTTGTAGTAGTTAGTTGATTAGTGTTGAAATTTGACCAAAACTAGTTATTTCACAGTCAAAGGAGATACCTTATCAATATCTATAATTGAGAAACTAAGAACCACAATAAACAAAAATAACTTTTGAAAAATGCAACTTAGCAAGTTGTTCTGTAATTATTTGGAGAGAGGTAAGTGATCCTTTTCACTTCTCTCCTTTTAACAGTTTTGAAATATTTGACAAAGTTATCTGCAGTTGCTTAAGAGTAACTTTCTTATCCGTAACCTTACTATATTGCACCTTAGTAAACCCTGCATTATCCTCCTTTTCCCAATCAAGGAAGTCCTTATCTTTAGGGTTTTAAAATTAATCTTTAACTTCCACAACTTCTTGTCCAAATCTACTATTCTCACACTATAAATTAAAAATTTCTCCATAGCAATATAACTTTTCTCCCAACAAGCAAGTTATACAAATGAAGTGCATTGTGTCACCTTGTATCTCCTCAAAACCTTTCTCTAGAACATAGAAGAATCACAAGAAACTTGATTCAGGTGTTTAAAATTGTTAGGGATTTGAATAAACTGCTCAGGGGAAGTTTCTTGGAGTACTGAGAAGAAAGTTGGAGTTTAAATCCTGAATATTAAAAGAAATAAACATAAGCTATTGAAACTCAGGTACAGGCTGGCTATTAGGCCAATTCTTTACCTGTTAGAATTGTTTCCTTATAGAATGGCTTAGGAGATGATATTATGTGTGTTGGTAGTTTGACTTTCAGTTTTTGTTGGATACTTTTATGGATGTGTATGTGTGTGTGTGTGGTTGGGGGGGGGGGGGTAACGACTTCAATGGAGCTGGTTTCTTTGTCAGGTGACCTATGTGGGCCAAATGGTCTTCTGTCACTTAGTATTTTCTAAGGTTCTAATTACATGTACTAACCATTCCTTTTGCCTTTAATCTTTCAAAATCTATGACACAATTTATTAAAGACTTTCCCTCATCACTAACTAAACTTAAACAGACTCAAATAATTATTTTCACCTTCATCAAATACCTGTCTTGCTTAACTGGGGTCCATGACTTACAAACATTTCTCCCTTATTCATGTGACTCACAAATCTAGCAAGTGAACTTCTTGATTCAAACATAGTTGATAATCTCATTCAATCCTTGCACATTGCTTAATATTTCTTACTGCACTTAATTATGTATAATACATGGAACTACAAAATCAGCAAGTTAACTATTTTTATCCATTTGGTCCTTCAAAGTTGTTCTTGCAACACACTACCGAGCAATGTAAAACTTTAAATTCACCCTTTACTTTTCAGGTAATCATAGATTTCCCTCTTAAACTCCTTTAAAGTGGTGACATCCACTACTACTGACAATTCATTTCATAAATCCATCACTATGTTAGAAAATTAAAATTATCTAAACTGGAGCCTAATTTGTCTTTTTCCAAATCTCAATCAATGTTGGTTTTCATTGAATAATATTTCAGAATTTCCAAAAATTATTTTGTAAAGTTTCTTTTATCAGCTTCTAGAATTTTTCACACTCCAAAGAAATACTAATTGGTCTTTTATCTGAGCAATTAACTCTTCATCACCCCATCCAAAAGTAGGAGTAACATGCAAAACTCCCCAATACTATGTCACCTGCCCAATTTCTACATATCTACCAAAAATAAGAGTGGAACTTGCATATCAGTTCTTTAACCTCCTTTAAAACTGTAAGAAAAAATCTTGTCTGATCCTGATACTTCATATGTTATTAATATCTCAATTTTTCTACTTCCCAAAAAGGATTAATTAGTTAATATTTATAAGATTCAGGTCAGTTAAAATATTTTTCATAGAAAGCTCAGGGAAGGAAATATCATAAATATTCTCTCCGCAAAAACAGTATAAATATACAAACATTTAAGAGCTCAGTCATCTCACAGTCCTTAAATAAAAACCTTGCTAGCAACATCCTTTAACCTAGACACAGTCTCCATTCTACCATTTTACTTACCTTTCACATACTTAAAAATAATGCTTGCTGTTGGTTTTAACATTATCAGTTAACCGTTTCTCATAAGCCCTTTTGGATTTGCTAATCTTTTTTTAACCAGATCTTTAGCTTTCCTCTAGTTCTGCTTGGTTTCCCACCAATCTGTCCATTTAAACTTCTTAAATGTATGGCATCCATTTCTGAATTTTTTCTTTGTTTTTAGTAAGCCAGTTATCTTTGATCTTCAATGTTATAATTTTCCTCTTTTTAGGAATGTGTCAATCTTAAATTAAAAGCAAATATTTTTTTTTTTATATTTCACAAATCTGTCCCATCTTAAAACTAAAAATTGAACCCACTCTTTTTTTTCAGGAAATCAGTTCCTCTCCTAAACTCACATAAGGTGCTAGCCTACACTACTGCTGGTAGCAAATCATTTCATAAGCTAATCACCCTATTAGAAAAATCAAACTTGTAACTAGAGACTGTCTTTTCCAAATTTTTAACTTGTGTCCTCTTGTACTCTGAATAAAGCACAAAGAAATGAGAGGCCTTTATCCTTATCAATCTACCAGACACTTATCGTAAACTTCAGTAAGATCACCTCTTACCATTTTTATCTCAACAGAAAATATGCTTGAGACTTAACCTACCCCTTTAATAATAATATAACTCTTCCATCCTCATACTTATCCTTTTAATTTTATAGTTTGATGGATGGGACAGTCTAGATGGCCCAGTAGGTCCCTAGTTGTCCTTAAATTGTGTTATGTTATACTAGTAGCCCTCCTCTGAACCCTTTCCAGTTAATCAATATCTTTTCTTAGATTAGACAACCAAAACTATATACAGCATTGATACCTAAACTAGTAATTTTCATAACAACATAATTACCTCATTTAATTTTAATCAATACATCTATAACTTCCATCCTAAAATTCTATTAGTTTTATTAATAGCAAAAGAGCATTGCTTTGAAGGCTTCTGTGATTTATCTACAGTTATGCAAGATCCATGTTATTAAGTGGGTTCTCATCCATACTACTACTAGTATTACTAATACTACCACTATTAGTCATGTGATTCTTATTATGCTAGCCTAGGTGTTTTCACTTGTCCAACTTATCCTAAGGCAAGGAAGCTCTGTAAATGAAGTGCATTGTATTTTCTGAGCTCTAAAAATTGGAATCAAACACACAAATCTCAAGAATAACCAAGCCAGTCCTTGTACCTCTTGCATCCTTTTAACTCCATCTCACTTATTCTTGAACTACCTCTACGGCTATATATAAATTGGAACTGGTATCCTCCTTTGGTTAACTACCCTAACTATTATACAGAAGACATTATGAATTTGTCCATATATATATATATATATATATATATATATATCAGGTAGGCAAATAATCCAGTATTTTAGGTTATTTCAAAGAGGAAGTTGGTATATCCCTGCATTTCGTACTAACTACTATTGATAATAGTACTACTATGTTATCAAATTATTACTAACATTAACAATTTGTTTAAGCTTTTAATGACACTTTTACAAATTTCACAATTATTTTGAATTAAACTTTAAAAAAGCCAATCTGGATTTCTAAATTCAATAAACCAGTTCTATTTAATTTTTCTTACTCAAGTTACTGCTCAAATAATTTGTCACAAAATATTACTTTACAGTAATAAACCTGTGTATATTGGATTAAAATTATACATGAAAAAGTTATGTTTGACTTTAATTTAAATAAGTTGAATGATTCACTTACTTATCACGAATAACTGTCTGAAGCTCACGAATTTGATCATTTATTGGAATACACTTGAGGTTTGGGCTAAAAGGTTGCGACTTTTGTGATTCTGGGTTTACAATACTAAAAGTCATCTCTGTAAAAATTTATTAATGTAATAAAATGAAAGATAAAGGATGGTGAAAATTTGAAATGTAACTTCGGTTTACACTACTAACTAAGCAATAATTTTCACTGTAAATCACAAATGACCACACAGCTGAAACATGAACATCTCAACAAACGTAACACCTCTAGTAAAATCAGACCTTATCGTAACTAACCAATCCCTCTTCTTCTCAGTGTCAATTGGTTGACTGACGTTACGTCACATATCGGTAGTATTAACCTATAAATAACAATCTCATGCTTATAACTAATGAACTTTATTTCTTCAAATGTTTCAGTACAGGAATTCAGATTATATTTACTAAATTCAAAATGAAAGTAGTTAATAATTGAATAACCATTATATGAAATTCTGCTTTTGCAAAATATGCATCATGTAACAACACAGAATAAAGAACATGCATATCAATTAATACTTAAACATTAGGCTTTCTTTAGCTTGTATGACAAAGGACGAAACACGTCATTTTCGATACTCGTTAAAATGTATGCCTCTTGCATAAAAGCAGTATCTTTCTTCGGGTTTCCTGAATTTATACTCATTTACTCATTTAACATTATTTGTAAAAAAAAAAAAAAAAAAAAAAAAGACAGGTTTCAACGGAGAGATAATTTGACAAATTAGTAAATTATTCGTAAAAATTCAAAGGATTTATTTGTTTGTTATTATGCAAAAAGCTACACAATGGGTTATATGTGCTGTGCCCACTATGAGTATCGAAACCCAATGTTTAGCATTGTAAGAATTCAAAATTGCCGCTGAACCACTAAGGGTCCAAATTCACGGGAAACAACAATTACACAAAAAATTGCTCACTTTTTGTTTTTGAATGCCTTTATTCTTGTCATTTTTCAAGTAAATCTTTTTAATCCTCATATGGAGATAAAAAACATTTTCTTTTTCAAAAATCTGAAAGAAGATTCTTGTTATCAGTAACATATATTTGTGATGGTGCCAAAAAACATTCAAAAGAACATGGCTTACTTGTTTGTTTTGAATTTCGCGCAAAACTACACTAGGGTTATCTATGCTAGCCGTCCCTAGTTTAGCAGTGTAAGACTAGAGGGAAGGCAGCTAGTCATCACCGCCAACTCTTGGGCTACTCTTTTACCAACAAATAGTGGGATTGACCGTCACATTATAACGCCCCCACGGCTGAAAGGGCGAGCATGTTTGGTGGGACGGGGATTGCAAGATTGTCCATTCCAGCTGGATGCTCATGTCAGTGAAATTGGAATTGAAACTGTATTGTTTCAGGTACAGGTTACTCGCAATCTGAGGGTCGCGGGTTTGAATCTCATGGTCTAACCACTGAATAAAAACCCTGACATGATCTTCAATAAGTTAGTTCACGAGAAATAGCTGAGAGGTATTATTTCTGGTTATTACTCGATATTGCTAATGATCTTGTAGTTGTGTAAATACAGAATATTGTTATTTAGGAATTAGATTTTATCTTCGTCTGGTTCTTTTCCTGATTTTTTTTTTTTTACTTATTGAAATAATTATTAGCCCTGATAGTTGCGTTATATCGTTCTTTAATGTTAGTAACAATTCCTTACCAGGAAAATACTTATTAACTGTGTTTTAGTATGATATAAATCTTATATTCTAATTGTTCAAAAGTTTAAATTTTGATATCTGTGGTTGTTATAGTTCAATTAATTCCTTTTTGGGTTTCAACCCTGGTTGTAGTGGTTGCTTGTCTGTGTTTTAGTCCATTACAGGGCAAATAGGATTTTAGGTTGTAACTACAAAGATATTAAATACAAGTATAAAGAGGTTGTAATTTCATTGTATGGATCACTGGTAAAGCTACATTTGGAATATTGTGTTCAGTCTTAAGCACCATACTGTAGTAAGGACACTGAATTGTTGGAAAAGGTTCAAAGAAGGCTATGAGGATGATACTTGGGATGTTTTATCTTGAAAAAAGAAGAGTTAGAGGGAATTTGATTGTTTACAGTTGTTAAAGGAATTGATAGCATTGATGTATAAATTTTTTCATATTTAATGGGGAGAATGTTAGGATAAAATATAAATTTTGGCAGGTTATGTATTATCTTTAGCTAAGACAGTTTTATTTTTCTAACACGGTAGTTGGCCTTTGGAATGTGTTGCCTTTGGATTTGGTGGAAGCAGTAAACTTAAGTGAGTTTAAGAGAAGACTTGATAAATATATGGATGAAAGGGCTGGCTTTGAGGTTGTATTTTAATAGTTTTAGGTTAGTTTAGTGAACTACCTATATGGGAACGAGTTCATCATCCAGACGGACCAACAACCACTTACATACATCCAGAGGTGCAAACCAGACAGTGCGAGTATTATGAGATAAGCATTGTACCTCCAGAACTATAGACTCTGCATGTAAACCATCAAGGGCACTGCACATGTTGGTGCAGACTGTATGAGAAGACTTTATATATGAGTATTTATATCTAGTGTAAAAATATTGTAAATATGTTTCTTAATGAAGGGGTTATTGTTAGGTATACACAACCGTTCATTTTACGTTTAATACAGTTTATATTGTGCAAGCATTAAACTAAGTCATTTTTAGAAGCAATAGTTATGGCAAGTTTGCTTAAATAACTGTTTACAAATCATTTGTTGTGCAGTTCAGTTGTGGTGAATTCATGTCATGTTACTCGAATCTTCTGAATTTTTCTTGTTGCTTTAAGTGAGTATTATTACACTATAGTCTAACATCGTTTATAAAAAGCTCTAGGCCTCAGTTGGGTAATGTATTGTTACGACGCAACACTG